ATATACATCAAGATGTATTTCATTGTTCTATCACATATTGATATTACATTGAATATTGGTGTTACAGCCAAATACAATGAATTACCGATATGTCATATTTAATCTGCATTCGAAGCAATTTAGCATTATTTTTATCTTTGGACACGTTCTTTTGAATTCCTGTTTTAGCTGAACATTTATATAAGCAGATAAAAATATAAATTTAAAATATGAGTAATTTGAATTTTTTTTCAGGCAAATATAAAAATTTTAATGCGTGATGGAAATATGTACATATATATATTCATCAAATATATGTGTTTATATTAAATATAAAAAATAAAACGTTGAGAATTTTATATCTATATGTTTAATTTAAAAAAATATACATATTTTAATCAATGTTTCATGTATTACTTTATATTTTCTCTCTCTTTCTCTCTATTTACATTTAATTTTTTATATATTTCTCCTTGTTATATTCTAATGCATATTTTTGTACATTGCTTTTCACTTTGTAGAAACTATTGGAGTGAATAGCCAAAGGCAACAGTAAATAATTCAACGGGCCACGAAGCAAAGGTGTCAGCAAGAAGTGTTCGAGTGAATGCATATCCAATTACAAAACTGTGCCCGGTCAAGCGATCTTTGAAGCCAAACTTCCGAACCGATCGACTCACCTAATTCCGCTTGTGCTTTAATGAGTTGACTTCCCCCCGTCGACCGATGAAACGGTCGGTTTATCCCATTAGTTAGTTGGTCTTAGCGGTGAAGTTCTATGTTTAGTAGGATAATGGTATTTTACAAAGTTGGGGGGAGTGATAAAAATGAAAAAAACTCCGCTGTAATAGGGCTTTAAAATGTTCAAATGCGTCTCGAGATGCACCCGACAATAAATGTCGGGATGAATCATTCAAGTGCATTGGCCTAAATACTGAGCCGCATCACTGGCATACATGGCGGATCGAACGATGAGCTATATCACGGCAAGCTATATCACGCCGAGGTTTAAATATCGGACAAAAATAGAATGTAGGAATGAAATGCGTCAAAATGCGATGATAATAAAAGATGAAAAAATGTATTCGTTGCATTTGACGCTAATAACATTTGTTCGCCCTAAGCGAAGAACTTGGCCCATTTTAATATCGGTTTCGCGCCCTCCACACATGCGCAGAGCTGCATCATAGCTTAAATTGTAGAGCATCAGAGTAAAGAATCAAAAAATTTATATAGATACGCGCGCTGATCGAGAATGCCGCTGTTATGTTTAAAAATCTTATAATATGTTGCTTTGAAAGATATACAATTAAGAATGAAGTAAATTCTTTATGCGAAAAATGAGAACTTTTTCATTATAAATGGTAAATAATTTAATTGCAAACATATTTAATGTTATATGTACATTTAGATACTTCCAATACAATAATGGGAGTACGATTCTAAGACGAAAACTTTGCCTTGTGCATTTTTCTCACGCAACGCAATAGGAGAAGAAAAGTCGGAAAAAGGTTTCAATGCATCAATAGTCTTTTTAACTTGCTATGAAAAGAACGGAAGCGTGAAAATGGATTTTAATATATCCCTTTATACGAGATGCAGTGAAAAATTAACGCGACGGAAAACAAGAAAATCTGAAATAAAATTTCCATTCACAATTTCGATTGTCAAAGCGCCATTTAAATGTGATTTGTTGCATATTAAATAATCGTATCACTGTTCATACACAAGCACACGATTGTTTTCGGACAATACGCGGACAATAAACATTTATTTTTGCTTCGTTTTTTCATTATTTCCCCTTCCCTTTCACCTTACGGATCCATAAAAATATAATTTTTTCGTGGAAAAAAATGCGCTATGCATATCGCGATAACGTAGTTGTAGACGTAGCGAAATGTATAAATGGATCTTCCGACGCTCTCGCGTCAAGATTAATTAGTCATGGAAATAATAATTTACCTGGTCACTCGCATGTAATTACAACACAATTATGCGGTTATTTATAAATGGACAGAATTAATCAACTGCTCGGATATGCTTCGGAGCGGAGAAACTTGAAAATAGATAAATTTTCATAATCTGGACATAATAGTCAGCTCTAATCGTCTTTAATATATTTACGCGTATTACCTGAATGCAACTCCCGCTTGATAATGTCTGATGTATGGTACGCACATTGATTGGTATTTGTAAATGATGCGTATGCGAGCATGCAAAAATTCGAATCATGCGAGATACACACGTGCAAAAATTTCGTATGCTATTCACATATTTCATTTCGAGAAAGACGGGAAATAAATGGTTTACTAAAAAAAAAAAAAAAAAAAAATCTTTGAAAAAACGCCACGTAAACATTTTGCATGGAGAAAATTTAAAATTTTATATTATGTCAAAGTATACTTGGGCATTATACATTTTAGAATATATAAACCATTGTACTCTTTCTCTCTCGCTTTCATACATAATTAAAATGTTACATATACATGCTACGTGCATGTTAAAATGCATCTTCGCCACGATGTCGTGCATTTTGCTATCAAGTAACAGGATGAAACAAACCGCTAGGCAGTACTCACCGTCGTTGTTGGTCCGTGCACGAGGCGGGGACGAGCTGACGGTCGGAAGATTTCTGGAAACATTGTCCCGAGGCTGCGGCTGCGGTCCTTCGAGGTTCGGACTGGGGCTGAATTCCGTCCTAAAGTCCACTCGGTCGAAACCTTCCTCGAACTCGGGTATCAGCTCCAACTCATCTGGCTCGACCTCGCCTTCGTATTGCTCCCGTAACACCGATCTCGGAACTGGAACGGAAAAAGAGAGTTCGGAGTCTGCTGTTGTGTAATGGACTCCATCAGCGACACATCAAATATACATGGGGAAAGAAATGCCATTACGTACAAGATAGTCGATATAAGGAAAGAATCCGGAATCGACGACGACGAGCATTGAGATAAAATCATTTCCGCATCGGTATTGATTCCAGCTAAGAGCTCGCGATTGTTAAAATTCGAAACGGGATAGCGATGCATGTTTCATGAGCAAAAAATAGAATTAAAAAAAAAATCTTGCTACATTTTCCGCGCGCGTATAATTTTTTCTTTAGCGAGATACCAAGTGTTAGATTTCGTTCTTTATAAAATCATTTATTAGATTGCGAATATGCATAGATAATGTGACATCATTTCAGATGCGTTTTATCCCGATCAAGAGAAGAGAGAAAAATTTCGCATTCTATTTCACGCATACTACTTGCATTGCGTTCGTATCGACCGAAGTCCGCGCGAGTTTGTGCGGTCGCTTCAGAACCGGGTAGATAGGCAATAGAGCGCGGATAAGCGTCGATCGGATCGAAACGTAAACGTTAACGCTATGCTCGCTCGCAAATAAATCCGTTTCATGATGTGTGGGTGCGCGGTGGCTAATACCTGCCAGTAATAACGTTGCATTTGCAAGCAAGCGAGCGAGCGAGCGCGTATACGCGCTATATCGAGGCGGAATGAAATGCTACCGATCACGATATACAATCGTTATCATGCTTACTCGATACTAACCCCCCCCCCCCCTTTTTTCTTCACACCCCCGAGGCGGAATGAAATGCTACCGATCACGATATACAATCGTTATCATGCTTACTCGATACTAACCCCCCCCCCCTATTTTTCATTGCATACGCATCGCTATGCTTGCAATAAACCTTCGCGCTCCCGTTAAAAATATGCTCGTGAATCCATGGCATGAAATAGCTAGCACGGAGCAATCGCAAAATAACATATACGTGATAAAATGAAGCGACGTTCGTGTGACGTTTCGAGAAACGGCGTCGGTCGATTGGAGAAATCATGGAAAAGCAATCGTGGATTGGATGATAGCATATGATTTGTACATTCGTATAATTAAAGTACGCAGACACAACAACAGTCAATCAGTATGATAGTCTTGATAATTCTTGCGCCCCTCCCCTCCATTATTCTTGAATTCAATTCAAATCCAAATATAATATATTATAAAATCATTCCCACAATTTTTTAGATAAAAATAAAAAAAAAATATGACATATTTTTTAAGTTTTGAACTCTAACAGTTCTTAAAATAGACTTGTTGCATTAAATCTTTACAAATGGCTAATCTTACGTGTATTGCATCTATGTATACAGACGTGAATTATTTATTAATTACAAATAATAATATTTGATTTGTTTCTACCATTATCATATTATCATCTATTCTCTTAATAGATGCCGGGGCTACAAAATTTCAAGTTGATTAACACTGTTCTGAGAAAGACGTCGAATGAATTAACTTGCGATGTGTTCACCCCTCATTTTTCTTTAAAATCTTACCAGATCGCTTCAAAATAATTTCCGTCCCATTTTGTCTGAAAATTTCCGCATAGTAATCCCCGAAGCGTGTATAGCCGGCATGACTGGATTAAAGGCAAATGATGCGAGTACGTGAAGCGGGTGGCGCGCGATGTTTAGCTTGTTTACTGCAATTAATAATTGTAATTTAACACCAATTTTGCGGCAGCAGTATATGCTGTACCGGATTATATCCAGTCTTGGCGTTCGTGCGCGTAGAATAGCCATGAACACTTTAAACCGAGCGAATACATTATGACCCGCGTCCACGTATAATGGAACGGAGATAATGTGGATGGTGAAGAGAGAAAGAGAGAGAGAGAGAAAGAGAGAGAGAGAGAGGAGGAGGAGGAGAGAGAAGAGAGAAGAGAAGATACAGTTGAGATACTATAGTGCAACATTATGCGCCAAGTATCGTAGAAAAATATCATTTTCCTTACCATCGTAAGTATTAAATAAAGTATTATGTCACTAATAAAGACATTCGGGTTGAAAGCAATTTCAGAACCATGTCATGTATAAAATAAATTTTTTAAATAAAATACAGATATATCCATATATATTTTCATGTTATAAAAAAAGTAATTATACCTGTTTTTTCCCCGACTGCTACCAAACGCGGTAAATTATATATAAACATATATATATCATCTCTCTTTACAAAAATTTAAAAAAAATATTCGCAATTTAAAGAGAGGTTGATGTATATAGTATATTCAGATAAATCATATTTCATTATTCTTTTTCATTTTATTAATACTCTATTAATTAGTTAATAGCTATATATATATATATACATAATTTTCTTACGACACAAACGACAAAAAAAAATTGATACTTATATTTTATTAATAAATTTATTCTATTCTTTAAGGTTCTCTAAACTTGCTTGCATAAATTGAGTGTTTTTACCGGTATTAACCAATTAAAAAAAACTAATAAAATAAAAAAGAACAATGAAACATTATTTATTTGAATATATGTAAATTATATGCGAATATAGATCGTCTTTTGTAAATATTTTAATTTTTAAGAATGTTAAATTAAAAAATGGTACCGTATCTTTATACAAACTGTGTTGCATTATTTTTCATAATTATTTTAAAAATTATTTTGAAAAAATCTCGTCTTTAAGATTTTATCAATCCTTTCCTATGCGCAGTTTGTTTTTTAAGTTCCATTGTTAATTATACCTATTATTATAATATACCTGTTAATATACTTATTAATATACCTATTAATATATCTAATATACCTATTAATTAATTATATATGCCTCGACTTTTAGATTAATTCAATGCCTATATCATTGTTTTTCTTAATTTCTTTAGGTCCTTAATTTATATGCCGATAAATTAAAGCATCCGTATGCGCTGAGAATAGAAACACATAGTAATGACGTACACGACCAAGGTGTAGCTTACTCGCGGCAATTAATTACAGTAATTTAATACCAATTTCGCGGTACAGCTTGCCGTAAATGCGGGTTAAATTTACTTTGTGTCGGTACACCGAAGCTTTAATCTGCGTGGATATATTAGAACTTCACAAGAGCGAGAATAATGCAACAAAGGAAATATTTCGATGAGATACGCCATAGAATATTGCAGATGTGCACGTAAGTTAATATAATAATTACTTATCGCGTGATCGTCTAATTATTGTAGTAGACGGGCTTGTTTGACGGAGGTTACGATCTACTAAAGATGAAAATTATAGGTTAATTTTTATTCAAAGAAAAATGAAGAGACTTTAGTTGTTATTTCGATACCCTTCAACACGTTAGACAATATCAGGTATACCAAAATTCATTAGCGCATACCGTAGTTACTGTTTAACGCAGCTTGTTGTAATAATGCTACAATCGCCAGGTTATAGGATAAAGAACATTTAGTTATGGCTAGCAATAATAATTATGAGAACCAGCAATTTACGATGTGCAAAGCTTTTACCAGCTTTTCTCTTTTGAACGAGTATTAAGATATTATCCAGGAATTTTATCATTCCCTCCAGAAGTATCGTAATACTCGCGTATTACGATATACTGAATACAAGTTAACCGCCACAATATTTAATTTTGCTACTCGAATTTTTTAACTTTTTTTTTAAGCGATGTAAAAAAATCTACAAAAATTTTTAAACATAAATAAATGTATATATATATGTATAAACATATATATATATATCTAATTAACATTAAACAAAGGATTTTTAAAAAATAACGATTCAACTAAGAAACTAATTTATAATTTTGACTTTACGTAAAAAATTATTGAATCAATATTTAACTCTATCCGTATTATTGAAAGATCAAAATCAGAAAGTGAGGCAAGATCGCCATCGGTAATCCACATATTCCAGACATTAGTTTCAAGTACCGTTCCGTCACGACGAGATCGTGAATCACGACGC